ACCTAATAAAGTGGCCGGTGAGTGTATGATACATGCAAAAGCAGGTGGTCATATGTCAGGAATAGCCAGGACATTTTGAGACTCTTGTTTACAGCAATGTATATTGTTTAAACACCATTTTAAAAGGCAACATTCCATGAGGTTTCAAAACCTGCATTTTAGCCTCTGTGTAACGAGCTATGCAGGTTTAGACACACCATTAAAGGTAACTAGGTTAGGCTAAAGTTAAAGTGTAGCTGCCAAGAGTTTCTCTTGCCTCCGTAAATACAGGACAAAACCATCTGATTCTGTGAGGATTGTACTATGTGCAATGTTCACCCAAGTTCCTTAAGTAAACTGCCTGAACTGGGAAACTCTCGTACCCTGAGTCTTCTTCAACTTTTTCCACGTGCCAAACACAAAAGTCCAAAATTCTGTTCCGATATTTAATACTTCAGATTTATGCTCCTCAGTAAATTCAGATGACAAAAAACAATAGAGACTGACCACACAATAAGCAAATGGTGATGGTCTCTCTAATAGTCAATGTGGTAGTCAGTCAGGCCAAGCATACTGTAGCGGGCAACGTATTGCAACCAGCAACTGTTTTGCATTGAGGACACTGACATCACAGGGGTATTCATCCATATAGACTGGAGAAAGAATACAGTATGCAGACAATGGTCCAAAGTTTCACACGGCTTCATGCTTGGGTGCTGATTTTAAGTGAGATTAGCAGTAAGAGCAACCAATCACATTACTCATTTGATTCAGTGTTAAACTACATTGTCACCTACAATTAAAGAGATGTGAAATTTAACTTCTTTAAAATGGACAGACTATGCTCTCAGAAAGAATTTGTTACGTTTTACAACAAAGTCCACTTAGGGAGCACATCAGGATGAGTGGATGAGTCAACAAAACACTGGTTTTTAACACATGAGACCACAGTTGTTTCCATTTCCAACAGATAGTAGTTCCCTGAGACCTTAAGCTGTTATGTGTGTAGTACCATAATCCTGATGACTAAGGTCCCCTAACCTTAACAAAGTAATTTCAAGCCAAATCTCAGTCTCTTTTTAAACCTAACCAAACCTTCACATCATAAAGCAGATTTCATGTTCACCAGTAAGGATGTTGCAAGCCAGATTTCCCAAATGAAAGATAAATGTGGAACAGACGAGCATCATAAGGCCATAAACATTTTAGTAAAACTTTGGCATTAGAGAAGACAAATTAAAAAACTACTTTGTAAATGAATTTGAACCGGTGTTAGGAAATAGATTCTGTGTGAAGTTAAAATGTGTGTACTTTATGAGTTACAAGCACTGTAAGATATTGTTGTTGCAATGGGACAGCTGTGTGCGGAGATGACTCATCACTGAATGATGTCAGCCTGTCTTGACCCTCCAGCAGCTTAAGATTTTCAGGAGTTTCAAACTGTATGTGCCCATGATGCTTTAGAAAAAAAAAATGCAAATCAGTCCAAGGTGACTTGTGCAGGCTGTGTCTCTGTGCTAATTAGAAACCATCAACTTGAAGTTGCTTTGACCTTTATGAATATTTAGACAAACTAGCTAGGGCTGCAGAGTGTATGGGAAAACCTGTTATTTGTATATGTGGGAGGTAAACTAGATGAAATGCCATATATGAGTCTGTAGCAGGCTGTAATTCCAGTTTTATTAATGAGAAGTTAATGTGATTCTATTTACAGCAACCTTTTTTTTTAAATAAATGTCTTAGTCTTGTCCCAGAATGAATATAACATGTTTTTAAACAATAATTCATGTCTTCTTGTGTATTATTTTGCACAGATGGCATTTGGATCTCTCAAACTAACAGTACAGTCAATAAGCACAGGCCATTTTAATGCTCATGTAAAAGTAGATGCAAAATGAAGGTTTTCTGCCATTGTCTTCAAATGTTTGGTTAATCTTGGATGGGTGTTCATAGACCTCCCTCACTCCATTCCTCCCACTTCTCTACCTGCCTACAGGCATACTCGAACACACCACACAAAGAAACACACTCACACACCCACTCATTTAAACACAAAAAGCTCATGTAGATGGAAACAAACATGGACAAACATGGAGGAACAAGCTGCTTAATATTCTTGGATTATATATAAACTACGGGCTGGAGGTGTTTTTTGTGCTTTGCCAGCATGTACAGATATGTGTGTGTGTGTGTGTGTGTGTGTGTTTCTCATGATATTAAATTTAATGCCCTAAGGACACATGCTGTCACTGAATACATGGTGCCCTCACTGGGGACCCTCAGCACAAAAACTTTAATAGGACACATTAGCTCACTGCTATGAGAACGTAAAGATCAGTTATTTCATTTTTGAGCTCATATCGAGGATTGTTCACAGGATTTCAGTGACCATGCAGGAAGCAGGGAAAGGAAACAACAGCTGTGACAGGTTATGTATTATAAGGAGTTTGAATTAGGTCACCCTCTTTCTCACATGTTCGCTGCCACTTGTCAGTGTGTAATAAAACTGAAAAGTGTTATGTGTAACAAGTCTCCTCTTCTCCTCCCTATAGCATTAGACCAAGTGGGTACTCTGTCACTTTGCTGAAGAGGATAAACACATTGGAGGAGGTTTCTCAGTGGTTTGTCACTCGTTCAGCCATCTGCCACTATGAAACTTTTCCTGTTTAGTGATGTAAAGCACAAATAGGATTTTACATGAAATTCCTTAAAATCCTTTCATTTGAAATGCTTAAAAAATAAAATTGACCCAAACACAGATAGCATGTTGATAACAAAGACTGTGAATATCACATTACTCCAGTACCACAACAAATTACATAGGCTACCGTTTTTGAAGTTTTGGGTGAAAGGGTTTGGGCTTTGTTTGTTTGCACATTAAAAGCGAGACTAACATTTTTGGAGACATATTTATTCCCTTTCTGGCAAGAGTTACCTAGATGGACTGTAGTTAGGTAGCAACTTTCTGGAGTTTTGCCACCAGGACAAAGGAAATTACTGCACCAGCACATAACCAAAGAGTTTATCAGTCAAGAGGTGATACTATGCTGCTTTTTTGACAAAAGCCGCTAGATGTGGTACCGCTGCCGCCATTCTGGACTGAAACCGCCAGTGGGAAAAGTAAAAACCCATTCGACAAATAATTTAGCAGACATGAAAGAGAAAGTGTATTCCAAGTGAAATAAAAGAAAACACTGACCATCAACTGTAAAAGCTCTCAGTGTGACAGGAAACATCTTCTAAGTTGTTATATTTGAATAACTGTCTAAATATTTCTACCTAAAACCTGTCTTTGCGTTGTACTTTATCTTTCCTGGCAAACCAGATTCGCAGACCTGTTTCACAGCAGACATTTTCATCAGTCATAGAAACACACAGGTGGAACTAATAACAGAAATGAGGTCTCCTTTCCAGCAATTACAGCAATTCACTGTGCCAGTGAACAGTGTCTTTAGTTACAGCTGTGTTTGATAAACAAAATGTCTGCTGTAAAAAGGGCCTATTTAGTTTTCAGCCGCTCTTTGCTTGAGGTCAGGCTTTTACATATTAGAACCCATTCGTTTTGTGGTTGAAAAACAAACCTCTCATCACTGATTTTTCTTCATTTTATTTAACCCTCCTGTTATGTTGCAGGTCAAATTGACCCACGAACATAACTGCTGAGCAGGCATCACCTGAGAAATGAACATAACAGGAGGGTTCCCTCCTGTTATGTTCATTTCTTCATATCAAATATTTGTCTCATTTAAAGCAGTTATGTTCGTGGGTCAATGGGTTAACAACAGCTACTACAGTGGTAATGCTTTATTAATCTTAAAATACTACAAACACTTTAACCTCTGAAAGGCAGAAGAACGACTTGTTAGAAACAGCTGCCAAACTGCTGTATCTTCTCTCTCTCAGTGACCCTAAAGCAACAAACCAGCTCAGCCTGCCATTAGAGGCTCTTCATGTTTTAGTGCTGATAAATCTGCCCTTCACATGCAGTGGGAGTCCATCTAGCAGACAGTCAGGATGCAGATTATAATGAAACTAATCAGCAGCTTGCTATATTTAAACTCGCATTTCTTTTTTTGAACTTGTAGTTAACTCTTAGATCCAGGCCTCTCCCACATGGCAAACACATACTGCACAAAGCCCCAGTTTTCAGTTACAGATTTAGAGGCTTACTGTGCAGTTGTAAATGCGCAAAGGAGTTGGTGTTCTGTTTACTGCAGTATAAATGAATAATTAGTACTTGTGCATCTGTCTTATCTGTGCAGAATAGAATAGCTTCTTGATGTTTTTTTTATATTTATCATCCCTTTTCCTACTCTCTCTCATGCACACACTCTGTTATGATTTGCAAATGTATGTTAATTTTTAAATGTTTTTAACATCTTACAGGTGCTATTTTATGTTTCATGGCTTGTACTTTGCACATAGCTGGTATCTTATACGGCAGAACAATACTAACCTAAGTTATGCAGAGTCACACGTACATAATTCCTCTCATCCTACCCTCTGCTCTTCCCAGTGATGTGTTTTTCTCTCCCTCTTGTTTTGTTCACCACTCCGCTCTTTTTCACCCCATTCATGTCTCAGCCCCCCTTCCATCCTTGTTTCTTCTGTTTTCCCTCCATCCAGCGTTATTTCCTTTGAGCGGTCTCCATTGGTTTCTTTACCATCCCCGCTTTGCATATGACATGGCTGATCTGTCTCGCTCTGTATCTCTGTCATTGCTCTCTCTTTCCCCCTCTCTATCCGTCTTTCTCCTTATTTGTCTCCCTCCGTCTCTATCTCTACCTCCCTCCCTCTTGCTCTCATCCTCTTCCCTCACTATCTCTCCAAGCACAGTTGATTCATTTTACACATTACGGAAGCATCCATCATTTTGCTCTGTGAAGGAAATATCTCCCTTTTATTTTTTATTTGTGACAAGATTTTCCACTTCTTTCTTTCTGGCTGTCTTTTCTTTCCCAACTCCTACACTTTCCTGTGGATCCAACCCTAAAGCTGGAACCAATATGTTTTATTTCCAGCTGGTCATCATGGCAGGGACCGTTCTGTTGGCGTACTACTTTGAATACACGGACACGTTCCCCGTGCACATCCAGGGCTTCTTCTGTTTCGACAAAGCCTACTCCAAGCCATACCCAGGACCAGAGGACAACAGCCTGGCGCCGCCCGTCCTCGTCTACTCCCTCGTCACCGCCATCCCCACTGTGACAGTGAGTCTGTGTTCAACTTGTAAAATAATCTTCCACAGGTGCTCATTTAGCACACACACATCTGACTTAAACAACATGACAATCAGCTACACACATGCACACACAACCCAGAACATGTTACACACACACGTGGATTGTTCCTCCTCATCTACACGTGGTGTTTGTGGATTAAAAGAAGGGAGAGGTGTGTAGGTGTATATCCTCGTGGTCTCAGCGCTCTGTTTGTGTGAATGCGTTCTCTGTCATAACCATGGCAACGGGCACTATATTTGTCCTCCATAGAGCAGGCAGAGATGGCTACAGTGTGCACAGTCTGTCCTTATTTCAAGGCTGCACAGCATTAAAGCAGAACAAAAAATGTCCTCCCTTATTCATGCATAAGAAGAAACAGTTTTCTTGTTTTCCTCAGACCATCTTCATCCAATACTGCATATTTAAACCCCTTTAAATAATTAAACATTGATACAGAATTGCAATTTCTAGGTCATGAATTCCTGGCAGAATACACTGATGCAGTGAAGCAAACATCAATATTAAACTACTTTTGCCATTCATTGTAGTAATATGTGCCTTCTTATCACTATCAAATCAATAGGGCACATTTTAAGTGACATTAATTGTTGTTGTTGCTGTTGTATGGCTGCAATGATCCCACTACACTAGCCATACTCCTTTGTCAGTACTCTAGGATACTATTAATAATGGAACATAGATTCACATGCTCATCAAAGCTATGTCTCCATGCCTGTCTGTGTTGTCCCCCCAGGGCTTGTCTCTCTGATGTCCCACAGTTATAAGTGGTGTTATGACATGGCCACCTCTGAGCCTACTTCAGTGTGCATTCCCATCATCTGTCACCCAGTTTATCATTAATGAGTCTATTTTACTCCTCTATTGTCATGCATTATTAATGACAGCAACTACAATATTAGCATATCTGTGAGTGTTTCTAGGGTTTTATTCTTGTCTGTCAGTTTGTGACTGGTTTTCAATTACATTCTGAACATTCGACTACATTTTGTGCTTAAAAGATGCATGCTGTAATGGTTTTACCTGAATCACATGACAGACAGCACAGGTAGACACTGTATGCTTTTATTTGTGTTTGTGTGAGTGTAGCATGCAGTAGAATAGATGGAAGCTGCAGGCACCAGGATTTGTGAGATGCACAGAGTGGGAGCAAAGTGGTGTGATTTTGCCTGGAGTGAGAAGCGGCTTTCTGAAAGTCAGAGCATCTGTGTTCTCTCTCGCTCCAGGATACTGTTGCATCCCACAAGCCTAAGTTCAGAGACAATATAAAAAACATTAATTTCATTTTTCTCTCAAATTCGACTCAGACGGCTACAAACAGAAAATGGGTGAGTTCTTCTAATGACAGTATATACGCTTGCATTGTATACTGACTTTGTGTATGTGTGTGTATGGATTGTATCTTAAACTTATCAGAAACTTTTATTTTTACTTTTTAAATGTTTTTATTCAAATCCTCTCCCTTTTGGCTGCTGTATAATGATGGGTAGGCATACAACTATATAATTAAGTGCATACTCCAGAGATTTATTGTTTGTACTTACATTCAGTGGTAGACAAGTTATAAAAACCATGGTCAAAATGTCAGCAGGGGCTGAGATATCCTCACTTTGTGTCGGTCAAGCCTTAAAAATGTTGAATCCCACACTTCTCATGATGCAGTTCAAAAATATCTTTCCTAAAATCCACCCTGCCTGATAAACACATGTGCTAAACATTATGGAATTTATCCTAAAGACATTTTGTGGATTTTTTTTTTGACCTCTCATTGCACTGTGGAGCAGCATTCTGCGAGTGGGTTCCTATTCTGTGTGTCTTGTTCACGTGGGTGACATGATCACATTCCTGCCAATGGTTTCACACCATTCCAAAGATCTGAAAGTGGCAGTAACATGCCAACAAAGACAGAGAAGAAGGCTGCTAGCTAGAAAACATGGGCATAAACAATGCATACTTTACAAACTGGCTTTGCAAATGTTGTATGAGTAAGGAAATTTATTCAGCCTATTTGCTAGACCACAAGGACACAAACAATCTGTTATGGGTATTAACACTGAACTGATTCAGCCACAGGGCTGCATTAACAATCATGTCTGATTGATTCTGCTCAGCATCCATTTATTTTGTATATTACTTTTTATCATGTCTTTTCTTGTAATGCATTTATTTCAGTGTGGAGATTCATTCTTTATGTAGATTTTCTAAACTATATTAAGATTATGTGGCTACTTGTTATCACAGTACTGAACTCCATTTCAAAGCAAGATTCCTTCTGAAGAGAGTAAAATGTTCTGGCAAAAGATGAGCAAGCTTGTTTAGAATATTAACAATATCTTATTTTAGTATTTTGTGTTTCAGCTAATCAGTTTTCTTCATATATTTTTGGGTACAACAACTATGATATTGTCAGCAATAATAAGATAGTTTAATATCAATTGTCAGCAGTATGAAAGTACTCAAAGGAGGAGTTAGGTTCTGTGACAACTTAGCACCCTGACAGACTATGGTGAAAAATTTGGGTTATATTATAATTTGATTTGGACTCATTAAATTCTGCAGTGCGGGTTAAAATGGAGCCTGTCACGGCTCTGTGGCCTGATTAAAAGTCTGACTGATGGACAATGTTCAAAAGCAGCAGTGAACTCTCAGGGCTTTCATGTCAAAAGTGAACCTGGAAGATTTAAATTACACATGCCATGGGTGTCCACTACTGATATAGCTACTGTGTGTGTGTGAGAGAGAAGATGCAAAGACGGGAAGTGAGAGGATGATTGAAATATAATCCTGTGTATGGTACTTAGCAAAAATGTTCTATGTTCTAGTGCATCAGTGAAGGTAAGTGTGTGGGTGGATGACGGTGCATGTCTTTCCATCCATCGCCACTGAAAATGGATTCTGTGTGTGAAAGTGGCTGTTGATGTGTGTGGGTGTACACGTCTTTATTACACTGCATGGACAAAATATTGTTCAGTGCTACTGTTGTGAGGACATTTTGGCTGGTGCTCACAGCTCTGAAGGGCCGGTTTAGGCGCTCAGCTTAGAATTAGGTTTAGGTCAGGGTAAGAGGCTAGGGAATGCGATATGTCAGTGAGTGTCCTCACATACCATAGAACGATACAACTGAGTGTGACTTGGTATTACTTACATTATGGGGACTGAAACCTTTTAACACACTCATATTGTGGGGACTCGGCCAAATCACTGAATTTTAGGGTGGCAACATGGTTTGAGGTTAGGTGTTAGGCAAGTAGTGGCTATGGTTAGGATAAGCCTATAAGAAATGAGTGTAAGTCAATGTAAAGTCCCCACGAGGAATGAAAACACAGTGTGTGTGTGTGTGTGTGTTCTTGTACTTGCTACACACTGATGACCAAAAAGTATCTCTATGACTCTCCACAACTGCATCAATTTGCATAAAACACACACACACAGTGCATAGTCTATATACTGCATAATACATGCACTAAACACAGCAGAGATGACACTTTTCAGCACTCACACCAATTACTGTGACAAACTGAAAGAGCGAGGTAAAGTGCTATTTGACCCATTTGCTAATTATTTGTGCGCACCTATGTGAGAGTATGTATTGTGTAATGGAGAGTGCACACGTGTACTGATTGTGCATGACAACCTGCCCAGCAGCCAATACAGTTAAGCTGTGACCAATCACAGGATCAAATGGTAATTGTAGGCTTAAGATGGATGTGTCACAGTGTGAACCTTCACAGCACACTGAGGTTCTCACTGTGCCACATGAACACTTGTACGTACAAGCAAAAAGCTAACAGGCTTTGAATGAATTGAATTTTGAATGTAGCAGTTGATTTCTCCACCTTTTTAATGTGTGTTAGAAGGATAATGCTAAATACTTTTTCCTTGGAAAGCTCTGCCTCAGTGCTACTGAATATAAGCCTCTCAAACAGCATGAGAAGTCAAGGTGAGGGTGCTTTTTGAGGGGAGAGTGAGAGAAAGAGAGAAAATGAGACCCACAAGAGGCAGAGGTACTAAAGAGAAAACAGGAGAAACGAAAACCCAAATAAAAAGACAAAGAATGAAGTTAGTGGAGAAGGAACAATAGAGCCTTCCATTGCAATTCAGTGGCTGCTTGCTCTTCAAAGTTTGTTTGCTGTTGCCTGTTAAACCTTGGGAACAGTTTTCATGCATAATGCAGCTCCATGTGACAGAAGAATGGGGATTGGAACAAACCATGGAGGCAGACCATATCATCCAGTCATGCCAGAGTTTATTAAGTCAGAGCTTTAAAAACCACCCTGTGCTGTTGTTGCTGTCATATCTTGAGAAACAGATGGTGGATGTGGTCAAAACCACTCTGTGTTTGTACATTTTAATAATCTGTATGCAGTCCAGCCCCAGTGTGAAAAGATAAAGAGGAACAATAGTCGGAGCTGAAGAGGAACACTGGCAGGTTAAATAAATGTTAGGTTGGTGATCCTCTTTGCTTTCCAGAGGTCACACAGCAACATGAGGGGAAGGACAGGAAGCAGGATGCCTTTAGAACAGTTTATGTTTTTTCCCCCTTTATAATTGTCCAAACATTTAAACTGTCACACAGGGAGAAATCCACTGAGGAAAAGGCAGGAATACAAGGTTCTCCACAAACAGCACCTTCAGGCCAAACGGTCACAAAGTGTTATCTTTTGAGGGACTGTATTTCAGTTGGTTGCTCATTTCACTGCCATCACTGTTGTTTTTTCTCCTACTCAGCTGTCTGTACAGCTCACATACAACCCCTTCGGAGGTTTACTGAAAGGCATTTTGTAAAAGCAAAATGTGGTTATACCAAAAAAGGAAGTCCTTAACAAAATACCCCATAAGCTACACAGAAATCATACGAGTTATTGCCACATACAGTAGTCCCAGTCCTGATCATGTCTCCATCCCATGTTTTCCCCTGACATCTCATGCCCAGTGTTCCATTTTCCCACTCCAACTACCTGCTTTTTATC